AGTACGCGGGCCTTGAGTTTGATACCCCTGTTCTATCTGATCTTACTGGGCAGGCAGAAACTACTGAAGCTAGGTGGGCCCTCAAAGAACCTAGCTTATTCCATGAAGGGCTTTACAGGTGATAACCAGCAGCTAAAATTGCACTTGAAAATAATTGGCAATAAGAATAGCTCACAAAGCAGCAGTGATGCATTGGCATAATGTGTTCTGCTCATCGCTAGCTATGTTGTTGTATTCTGAATCAGCAATAGCTTCTGAGTGGTCTTCAAGGGCAACCTCATTTTGAAAGCATTTTAGTAACCTAATTAAGAGGTGACTAAAGCATGAGTAATACAGGTTACTCATTCCCATTCCAGATATCCAACCTATGGATTTGCTTTTTGTTTCCTAAGTAAAAGTAAAAGTGAAAGATTGTGCTGTGCTGTTGTCTGTTAAATTTCATAGTATTTCAGTCCATTTCTCAAGTCATTGATACCACACATCTGGGGAGCATCAGTGTTGGAAAAGATTGTTCTACTAGCTTAGTTCATGAAACAATTAAGCCATGGATTGTTGAAAAAAGCTAATTGCTTAGATGTACACAACAAAAATATCCAGTTAAACTAGTTCTAGCCATTCAGCTGTGCTAGGGAAACACCAAAATCCATTGACCTATTTTGTGTATCAAGAAAAAGATTTAGACTGAAAAAGTCCCTCTCAAACCTCAAGCCTATTCATTAAGAATTCACTGCCAAAGTCTTGCAGCCCAGAATACATTTTTTAATGACTGGCTGCAGCAGTCAAATTATGTTTAATGTTGAATACCTAATAATGGGAAGGAGCTAGTTATCTTATCATCTTGGATTTATATAAACCAAAGTTTAAGATTAATGTTTGAACCCTTCAAATTTTGATTTCTTTATACTCAAATGATGATTGTTCCAGATTTTGACTTCACTGTTCTACAGAAAGCCTATTTGGTGTAGTGGTTAAGGCATCAGCCTAGAAATTATGAGTTATAATTCCACTTTAGGCACAAAGCCAACTAGGTAATCTTGGGCAAGTTGTTTTCAGTCCTATGAAGGATGCAATGGCAAATTATTTCTGAAAAATCTTGTCAAGAAACTTGCAGGGACTTGTCTAGGCAATCTCCGAGAATCAGACATGATTGAATGAAAGAAAATGAAGCTCTAGATATGGAATATTTCCAAGGTGTAATTTTGACATTAGGAAATCAATAAACATATGGATTAACAGTGTTTTATGTAATATGGACAATGCCTCGGATATGGTGGGTTAACACAACATATTAAGCCTTAATATATTTTAATTTTGATGAAATATATTGTTTGAATCCAATCTTGCAGTAAGTCCCATTATACTAGTTGTTTGACTAGTGGGGAGGGATGGCGGTTGTCATTAGGGAAGGTCTTAGACCTTAGGGAGGTCACTGTCCCTCAGATTGGCGGGTGTGAGTCCCTTCTGTTGAAATGGGACCCTGGAGTGCAGTCGGCTCTGTTGATTACGTACCTGTCTCCCAGCTGCGTGTCTTCAGTCCTGCCCGCATTACTCGAAGTCTTAGCTGAACTGACGGTTGAGATCCCCAACCTTATGGTTGTAGGAGATTTTAATGGGTTGCCCACCGAGCTCTGGACGGCCCCTGACCTCCGCACCTTCCGCGCCGACCTAAAGACATGGCTCTTACACCAACTTCTCTGATCTGCCGTGGATTTTAACTTGGGGACTTGGGGATTTTAAATTGGTTTTAATATTATTTAATTTTCACTTATTGTCGGGTATTGCTGTGAGCTGCCCCGAGTCCTACGGGAGAAGGGCGGCATATAAATCTGACTAAAATAAATAAATAAATAATGCAGTAACCATGGTTAACTGAACCATAATTTACTGAATTAACCTAATTTCTAGGCTAAAATAGTGCCAATTCTATCATTTAATGAATTGCTTCTTAGTTATGCAAAGCTAAATAGTGTGGAGGGCAAAACCTTTATGCCACTTTGAAATCTGATAAGATGTAATACTGAAAGTTGTGGGAGTTGCTTCAGTTCTAACAGATGTGGAGAGCACAAATTTTAGAGACTACCTTGAGCAAAGGTTTCTCAGTAAAAGACATTATTAGTCTTTAGCTAAATTAATAAACTTTTAGAGTTATTTTATTGTCAAGGGGGAATTAATTGACTCTAAGGATCTGGCGTCGGGATAGTCATATTTTCCTAAACTCAGTGAATACCAGAATTTAAACCTGAAACAGTTTAATTTTATTGAAGCTGTTATATCTCATAGAATATTTGAAGATAAAAGAGTGGGAGTTTATACTACTTTGAATTTTGGAGGAAGTCCATTTAATTTCAGTAATATTAAACTCTGATGTAAAACAACTTCACATAGCCATAGAACTATTTAAAACTGCAGTATTGCCATGTATAAAAAGTTGTAGAGGGAATAGGAGAGGGTGTAGTAATATTTATTGCCTGTTGTATGCTTCAAAATCAAAAGTGGAAAACCTTTGAAATGTAAACCATTACATTTGAATTTTGAGATCACTGATAAATTTTGCTGTGGACTTGAAAAGGAAATGTCCTCAGTACCAGCTATACTTTTGCTTAGCTTTAAACTTGCAACAATAAAGGATGATTTATTTAAATTCACATTCATGTGCAGAAATAGTTGTGATCTTGAACATAGGAGGACTCTTTGGAATTGTCCTTGAGCAGATGCTACAGAGGGACTGAATAGATATGCTTCATTCCCTATCAGCAAGAAATGCTGACACAGTTTGAACAGCTTCTCAATGACATTTCCTTTCAAATGTTCTGTACCAACAGCTGCAGGGAGCATCTGCCTGCACGTTCCAAGCATCCCCATTTCCCTTTGCAATGTGCCATGAAATCTCAAATTTACTAACCAGAAAGCAGTAAACAAAAGAGATAGATAGATGGAAAGCTGCAATCCTGTGCCTAGTTCTGGTATTATGTCTCTTGAACACAGCAAATAGGGTACCACTGCTACTGATGTGGAAAACACTGCAGAATAGCACTTGTTTTTAGATTCTTAGTATACAAATATATTTTTATTCCTACATGTACACTTTTCTGCTTCCATGATAGTCACATTAATTCAGAGATGCAGAAAAAAGAAACAATGGTTTAAATAACTAAAAACGGGGGAGGAGGAGGCCAAATGTAATTAGCCAAATCCACACTTCTACAGGTAGGAAACACTTCTGTATTCTCATTAAGTCTATTTTTTAACAAATTATTTAGGAGAAACAAAATCGAATTGCTATTTTTGTCTTCTTTTGCAGGCTACATGGGCCTCTAGCCTGCTTTAGTTTGACAATTTCTTATATTCTTGGGTACACTTTGATGGAAACTCCATGTTCAGATTCAGTCCACCTCTAAATAATAGTTGCCAGGGAAGGTGATTTAATGGGAGAATTGCTTTGCCTACCTTTCCTTCAAGAATCTCAGGGTTAACAAAAATGTTTTTTTCTTCCCAACCTCAACATTTATCCTCACAACCGCCTGAGATAGTTTAATTGGAATCCCCCCCCCCAAATATATGCATTATATATTTGGACTTTTCTGAGGATGCCCCCAGCACCTGCCAGCAAACATGAACAATTATTTGGCATTGTAACCTCAAAGTCGAAAGCAGATTTCCATCGGAAATAAAAGACTTGCATCATGACATCACTTGTGCTGTTTTTAATTCTCCTTTTGGTATTTGTAAATACGTGTAATATACGATAGGCGGTCGTTTTCCTGGGGCAAAGAGCCCTTATGTCCCTGCTACCCCCTCAGCATAAACACCGAAATCGCTACAGCATTAATTATGGCGTGTTCTTCTTATCTCTGGGGCGGCGCGGGGGAAGCCTGACAGGAACAGGGCAATTTTGAGACAAGACCCAGCCAAATGAGCCCACAAAACAGGAAACCTCTCCATCTGGAAAAGCATCCGCCTTCATTCGGAGGTAGATTGTGCTTAATTTTAAGGCAGGGAGTCAGTCAAACCTTTCCAGGCTTGCCTTGTCATCTTTTCCATGTCTCTCTCTCTCTCCCTCCCACACTCCATTCCCCCTTCCCTACGTGTGAACATAAGTCTGCGTTGCGTGTGTGTCTACTATTTATAAGTCGAATACATACGTGAGGAAAATCTGACGTGCGCGTCGTGACTTCCCGCGCGAGTAGGATTGCCCGGGGAATCACGCTCTATGTGTGTGTGTGTGTGTGTGTGTGTGATGGTTGAAAACACGACTGTAACGATTAGGGGGCTCATTTGAGGTTTCAGCGTGACCGTTACTATTTTCTTCGTGCGCCTCGTGCGTTGTGGTGGTGGGGGGAGATGGAACCTTCGTGAGGAGGCGGCGTTCGCGCGCCGAGAGAGAGAGAGAGAGAATGAGAGACGAAATGGGGGAGCGGGGGGGGGGGGGGGGGGGGGGGGGGGGGCGCGGGGGGGGGGCGGCGGCCGAGGGGGGGGGCACTGAGGGGGAGGGGGGACAAGGGGGGGCGCGCGCTCGGGCCAAGGCGGACAGATCCGGGCCCGCTTTTTTTTTTTTTTTTTTTAAATTCACTCCGAGACTCTCGCGCTTTTTTTTTTTTTAATCCACCGAGCCTCCTCCTCCTCCTCCTCAGTGTACACAGGGGAAAAAAAAAAGCCTGGATGGGGGAGAGCGAGCGTATGTGTGACAGGAGCTGGGGTGCGGGTGGTGGTGGGGGGAAAGAACAGACAGTGAGCTAGGACGAAGGCGGCCATCCTTCTTTTTATCTTGGCGCCGCGCCCCCTCCTCCCCTCCCCTCCTTCAACTACTCCTAGGCTTCTCTTTCGAATAATTCACTTACATCTGGGACGTACGTGCGTGCGTGCGTACCCTTAACGAGCCCGAGTGCGTGCGCGCCAATCTCCTTTTCCCCCCCCCCCCTCGTCTCGCGCGCGACGTCGGCTCCCCCCCACCCCCGCCTCTCTACGTGAAGCTATAATTTTTTTCTTAAAAGAGTGGTGGAGTGAAGGACGTAAGACGAGCAATAAAAGCTGTAACTGATACATTTGGGGGTTGACGTCCTCCGCCCGCACGGGTTTTCTTTTTTCTTTTCTTTTTTTTTTTTTAAATAATTGCCCTCCTTCCCTCCCTCTCCCTTCTCGCTGTTACCGTCATCGCCCTCATCATTACCACCACCTCCACTGGGCGGCCCCTGTTTTTGACGCCGGCGGGGGCGGCCCAAAATGGCGGCGGCGCGGCTGCTGCTGCTGCTATTGCTGACGAAAAGCCCGGCCCGGCGCGAGCGACAATAGAGAAGAGAGAGCGCGTGAAGGGAAGGAGCGGCCGCTCGCTCGCGGGCTGGTCCTCCTCAGCCGCCGCCGCCGCCGCCGTTTTCGCTCTCCGCCGCCCCGCCGCTCTAGCATGGTGCGGGTCCGCCGCCACTTGCTCCCTTTTGCCGCCCCGAGCTGACCTATCCTCTCACTGAGGCTCTGCTCTGCTCGCTCTCTTCCGCCGCCAGCATGGGCGAGAGGTTGGAGCTCAGGCTGAAGTCGCCAGTGGGAGCGGAGCCGGCCGTCTACCCCTGGCCCCTGCCCGTTTATGTGAGTGTGCGGGAGAGAGAGAGAGTCGTCCTTGGGCGCCCCGGTGGGGAGGAGATGAAGGGGGTCGGGGTGTCACGGGAATGAGGGGTGTGGGGGGGGGTCCTTCAGAAGGAGCAGGGGGTCCCAGGAGGGTTACTTTTATGGGCACGGTAGGAAATGAGAAGGGGAAGTGCCCCCCCTTTTTTTTGAGAGAGAGAGAGAGACGGGGAGCCCTGCGGGAATAATTTTAGTAAAGTAAAAAGGAATTTGGAAGAGGAAATTAACCTGGGGGGTGGGGGTGGCGGGTGGAATGCAAAGGAAAAAAAATCCGGGTCCAGTTATTCGTTGGGGCACGTCTGCCTGGGAGTTATTAGAAATAAAGTGGGGGGGGAGAAAAGTTTGGGAAAGGTACAGAGTGGGAATCGCAAGGGTTTATTTTTAATTTTTTTTTTTTTTAAATCTACGAGGGAATTTGGGAGGCTGAACCGAACTGAAATCGGGGATGATGAGGTAGCCTCGTGGAAAGAAGACAAGAGTGTTGTGTGGAAGGGAGAGCGAAATAATGTGCTGTCATTGTAGCCGAGGAGGTACCTTAGGAAACTGAGTTGGGGAGGATTGACAGGCAGCTGTTCGGTGTCACTTCGGCAGGTTTTTTTTTTTTTTCATTTAAGATTATATTATGGAGGGAATCGAACCCCGTGAGAATTGCCTTTTGACTTCCTGCTAAACGGAAAATGGAAAGGGTGTTTTTGTGCTGGGAAAATTTAGTAACGTTTATTATAGAGTAATAGGTGCAAAGACCCCCCCTGGTTTGGGTGCATTATGGGGCTATTATGTAAGGCATAGGAAATGGGGGAGACCTGATTGCATTGTGATAGAAAAACTGAAGGGTGCTTCTAGTTCCTTTTATTTCTAAGGAAGGAGAAAATAATCATGAAATTTCACCTTCAATATTTTCTCCTCATCTATCTACACCATCTTTTCTCATTCTCCCAGGCTTTTTTGTCCCAGGCACTCGTCCTGGCTTGACCTCCTCATAACTGAAGTTCTCAACCGTCTTCTAAATCAGATATATTTGGAGTTGTCCTCTAGTTTCATTGCTGCCAATTTTTTTCATGCTAGTACAGTATGTGTTCTGAAAATGTACTGTTTTCTCTTCTACTTTCCTTTCTCAGACTTTAGGTTTTCCTTTTGATTGATTACCTTAATAAAAACTTCCTTTCATTCTTAACACATTTATAATGGTTTTTACAATTTGCTATCACAATCTGTATGCAACAGCTTCTAATGTACATATTTTTGCAAAGAAATTAGACAATGCAGAATAAGCATGTTTATCCTTATCGAGTTCAAAAGATAAACTGTCTTAAAGGTGGTTAATTTCTTGAATGTCAATTTTTGGATGCAATTATGAGAGGTCTTTAGGATTATTGAAAACATTTTATCAAACTACTGGCTGCATTCGGAGTACATATGACATTTAAATGTGTTGTATGAACTCTGTCGTGTATGTTATGGGAATTCAGGAAATAGAATTAATTTAACCTTTAATACTGTAGTTCAGTTAACCAAGACTGTGTGTGACAAACAGCCACTGTGGAAAACAGGTTTATGGATTTGATGAAACTTTGGTCTATTCTTGCAAAGTATCTCTTACATTCTGCTGAAAGTATTGTATTTAATATATTTTGTGTTCTTGATGCCACTTTTGCAGTCTTTATTTCTTGTTTGTCAATCATAGTATTGCAAAGTTGGAATCAACTTTAAAGGTCATCTAGTCTTAACTAAATTTCTTGATGAATTCAGGTTTATGGTATGCAGAAAGAGCTGCATTCCTGATGGACAGCTGCCTACATTCAATGTAGCTTTTCCACTGCCTTGGGATTTACTTTATTCTTTCATTCTCACTGCTATTGTGATAATCTATCTTCAGAGAAGGGGTGCCCTTCTTACAATTCAACTATTGCCTGTCAAACTCTGGAATTTGCTTTAGCCCCCAAATCCTCAGTTGACCCACAGATAGCTGGCCTCCCTCAGGACACTGTGTTGTTGCTTTCTTGGGTCTCTGCCAACTCTTTGGTATTCCCCACCCTGTCACTTTTTTAAAAAAAAATTTGCAAACATTCCTTACATCCCAGGCCAGCCATTTTAAAATAATCCTACTTTTCCTGTTGTGGGTGACTCATTACTTGCAGATACTCCCTGTCCACACCCAAACAATATTTGTTCTATTCTGTTCTACCCTCCCTGTCTTTTCTACACTTCATAATCTCTGTCTGTAGCCCTGCTCAACTGTCTCATGTTTTATATTTTCATGTTGAATTACTATTGATTAAAAACTTATCTCTTTTTTCTCTTTTCTTTTTCTAAGCACTTTAAATAACCGGACAGTGGGTTTAACACTACATAAGAAGGGTTGTAATTTGGAATGATTGTGTCTGTATGAATTAGAATGTTTGTATAAAGACTAGGATATTATTTCTACTCTAGGTAACAGAGTTCTGAAGAGGCAGAAGACTGATTATAACTAAATAAAATAATTGGAATATTAATTAGCTTCTCCTTTACTTCCTTTCTTCAGGCTTACATTTTTGGAATCGCTTTGGACTGAAACATAGTAGAATGTGTAAAGTTAACTTTCTGACTATTGAATGAGGAATATGTTTCGTTTTCCTCTGTTTTAAAAAGGAAACGAAACAGTAGTGGGAGGAGGAAGATAGAACTGAAACCTAAATAGAGAATTCTTTGCAAATTTCCCTTTCCTCTATTTAGTGATAAATGCACAAATTTATTCTTCCTAATTCTATACTTGCAGTCCATATTTGGTTACTGCACACATCAGTGATGACGCTTCATTTTATTTTTGTAATGCCTTAGCTGCATAATATTTTACACATTTCACAAATTTTGGCTAACCTTTTCTAATGAATCATTGTGTTTTGTAATGATGCGGCCCTGGGAAATGACAGTTATGAATACAGAATATGTTTGTGGGGGTGTCAGAGAGAGAGAGTGTGTGCGTATGTGTAAATCTTCACATACTTACCATACCATGTGTTTGCTATCTTAGCAGGGGTGGGGAATTGCATTCTTGTTGGAGAATGGAAGTATAGTATTTTTTTTAAAAAAACTTGGCATGGAACTGTTTGGCTATTCTTGCACTGTGTGGCATTTCTCCATTTGTATTCCATATTTAACAGTGTAAAGGAGGTAGGGTGTACAATAGATTGAATTTGAATGATGCAGATCAGAACTGGACATCTTTTTTTGGATCAGGGGAAGGACCATAGCTTTTCTGCCTACCAGCTGGTCAAAAATGGCTACTTGAGGCATTACTGGAAGAAGTAGGCTGAAAATGTTCAGCCTGATTTTTACCTTGGGGAGGGTGTAAGAGTAGGAATGGGAAACATACTGCTTCAAAAAGGCTATGTGTTTCCCTTTTCAACCAAAGAGCCACCGGGGCTCAAAGTTAAGCGAAAGCCATGCTGCTGCCCTAAATGAGGCATTTTGCCATTGAATTTCAGTGACCTGATCTTGACCTGTTAGAAAGTCATATGGTGTGGATATTTCTACTGCATTTCAGCAGATGATATGAGGAATTAGAATAGCTTTTTTTGTGAAAAGATGAATAAAATATGCTATCATTGGCCTTATGTCATCCTGGCTCCTTAACCAGTTATCTGGTTTCTAAAACTTCCTGCTTATTCAGAAGGTTGAGCTATTTTTGACTGCCATTCCCAGAAACCATTGAGCCTGCAATTGTTCATGTGGCCTTTCCTGCTTGGGCAGCTCCATTTCTGTCTGTCTGTCTGTCTGTCTGTCTGTCTGTCTGTCTGTCTGTCTGTCTCTGTCTCTGTCTCTGTCTCTGTCTCTGTCTCTCTCTCTCTCTCTCTCTCTCTCTCAGAGAGAGTGGGGGGTGCACCCATAGCTGATGAGTTTTTTACTTTACTTTTAATTTCAGTATAAAGCCTACAGTAATTGCTATCCATCTTGGCTATAATCCTAAGTAAATGTACATGGGAGTAAGTGCTATTAAACTCTGCATATCTTAATAGGCATGTAGTACATTAGAACCTTTATTGAGTACATTTCCACAGAGCATATTTTGCTTAAGGTGTGATCATTACAAAACATTGTTTTTTTTTTGTACATTAGTGTTTTACTAATGTTGCTAATGTTTGAAATTTTGATTTTCTTTTTCCAAAGCTAGAACAACATATGTTAAAGGAAAATATAGCAAAAAATAAATAAATGATATACTTTTCTAAGCATGAGGTGAAGAAGTCCCGTTGCTCAGTGCAATGTAGTGAAGAAAGTCCAATTAAAAGGATAATAAAGTAGTTAATAAAAAAGGAACTATTTTTTTGTTGTAAAGCTGTTTCCATCAGAAAAGACAAAACCCACTAGGTAGGCAAAATATTATCTGGCCTGGTGCACAGAACTTTTTCCTTCATCTCTAATAGATCAGGTCAGTGGTTTATCTGATCTAGAAGCCTCTTTGCTGTGATTAACATTATAGTAGGTTAGTGATACCTAGAGGACTATATTTTTCTATCCACTGCTTCTTAGAAACAAATGAATGCAAGCATTTCAGAATTGTATTCTTCCTTTATTCACTAAAGGTGTGAGCCATAAAATGTCTGCTGTGCTGTGGTGCCTGCAATAAGTCCCCAGGGAATTAATATGCTTCGGTTGCTCGGTGGCAACTATCTGCAATTGGTTTGACTGGTTTTCCCACAAAATAGTTCCTACTAATGAATGGAGTGCATTCAGTGTGTAAGTCTACTCGAGCTCTTGTGGAAGCTGTTGTAGCAATGTATTAAGGACAGAATATTTGTTTTATTGGGATCTCAAGTCTTGAGTGTGACAGTTCTGTGGCATCCTTTCTTAGAATCTGATACTTCTGTTATGGATATCAACCTGACACATTTCAGAATCTGTTGTTGTTGTTGTTGTAATGTGAAGTAGTCTATTGTGATTGTCCAATCCTGGCTGTCTTTATGATCCCCAAATAAATCTGT